CTGGAACAGAGGTTAAATAGAACTCTTGGAGACAATGGTGTAGGAAAAGATTTTATGAACAAAAGCTCAGTTGCTCATGAACTAGCACAAACAATCAACAAGTGGGATCTCTTCTTATTAAAAAACTTCTGCACAGCAAGAGAAGCCAGCAACAGTGTGAAGAGACAATCCACAATGTGGGAAACAATTTTCACCTGCTTTTCCTCAGACAAAAGTCTACTATCTAAAGAACCTAAAACAATCAGACCTCCCAAATTTAAAGACAAAATCCAAAAATGGGCATTCGAAATGAACAGTCATTTCTCAGACAAAGATGTAGAAATAGCAAATAAACATATGAAAAAATGTTCAACATCACTGGTCATTTGAGAGATGCAAATGAAAACAACACTGAGATTCTATCACACCCCAGAAAGAATGGCTGCTATCATGAAATCAACCAATAACAAATGCTGGCAGTGCTGTGGGGAAAGAGGAACCCTGCTCCACCGTGGATGGGAGTGTAGACTGTTGCTACCACTGTGGAAATCAGTATGGAGATACCTCGAAGAAGGAGGACTGGAAATCTCACTTGACCTAGCTATTCGCCTGCTGGCTGTCTTCCCCAAAGAATTAAAAGAATCATACCACAGTGATATTTGTGAACCCATGTTCACAGCAGCACAATTCCTGATAGCTAAAACTTGGAAGCAGTCCAATTGTCAATCAACTGGAGACTGGATAAAGAAAATTTGTTTGTTTTATAAAATGGAGTACTACTCAGCCATAAAAATGGAGAAATTAGAGATATTTATAGCTAAGTGGATGCACATTGAGATGATACTCTTAAGTGAAATAAACAGGAAGCACGTGTAAATACCAAATAGTTTCTCTAATGTGAGAAACTGAAAGTGTAAATAAGGATTAAAAGGTATAACAGATAATGTGAAATAGGAAGAAAGGGGGCAAAGGGGAAGGGGAAGTGGGAGGGGTAGGGGAAAGGAAAGAAGGGAATGGAATTAATATGATAAAATGAAAAAATGGCAAAAAAAGTCTGTAAATAGGGAGGGATGGAGGGGTTTAAGGGAGGGCTGGGCAAGGGTGAAAAATAAGAACCAAGAGAGATTATATAAATGTGCAAATTTCCAATGATGAATGTCATTATATTGTATACCTAAAATGTACCAATAAAATTAATTTTATTGAATAATATACCCTGAAACATATTTGATAAAGTCTATGGACAGCAATATGACACCAAAGTCATAGTTATATATGCCAATTTAGCATAATGAAATGAAATGTTAGAATGGTTCATCAAAATACACGAGAATATCCCCAAGTACTTATTTTAAAGCATTAAATAAAAAAAAATATAAGTGTACAAATCACTCCTGATATTTATTCAAGAAATATTAATAGCATCCAGTCATAATATTTTTCTTTTAAATGTTAAGTGCCCAGGTCAAATAAATGAAGTTTAATTGTGATGTTAAGTTTTCACAAAATATACTAGTTCATAATTAATTTTGAATATCAGAATATAAGGTGAGAGTATAGTGTTAAAAAGGAGGCTCAGGTCTTTTGTTTCTAACCCCATATAGATTGATATCTTCTTTCTGTGTTATTGCATGGTTAACAATATGTATTTAATAGTATCCTTTACTTAGGACAAGAAACAATGACATTCTTGATCCAAAATAGATTATCATTACAAAAAGCCTGCTAGAAATTCCCTGCCATCAATTTTTCTCATATATTGAAAACTTGAGTTATTATATGAGTGTGTTCAGAATAAAATAAAAACTAAAAAAAATTTGTGCCTCTGACCATTATAAATGCAGTAACCCAACGAATTTACGTTTGTATATTAAAATTCATATGTTTAAAAGTTTAAATATATATGATTAAACACATTTTTTAAAACTTTAAAATTTGACTTTTGAAATCTATTGTCCATTATTTATTTTTTCATTATTAATATCTATATTTTGTCATATAGCATAAAATTAAAACTAATTAAATATGGTAGTATGATGATCATGAAGCATATAATAAAAGGCACTATCCTTTGTAAGTATGTGGTTATTAATTAAAAACTAGGATTGCTTACATTCTTCTTTAGTATTAGGCTATTGCTACTATATTTTGTTTTATATTGTGAGGCACTGTATTTTTTATTTTGAATTTATTTAATTTGTGAAAAATGGTGTGTGTATGTATATATATATATATAGGGTTAAAGTGTGTCTTTAAACAACAGATTATGTGACTAAGTTTACTAAAAATTATATATCATTTTATTGTTGGGAGAAATATCATATGGCTGTTAAGTATTATCCATATGTATGTTAATTTTAACTCATGTTACTGAAATTACATAACTTTAGCAGCTTTTCATCTAAATAAGGCTCCAAGAAGTTTCCCAATTCTGCTAATTATTTTCTCTCCCTATATTTTTCTTGAGAAGATTGAATTTTTCTCTCCATAAATAAATTTATTAAAATTAATGGTCTTTACTAAGCACCCATACTTATATTCCAGTGAATACTGAGATACTTATAATAAAATGTCTGTGATTCAAGTGCATACAATTGACTTTTAAATAAATAAATATAAAACATACACATGGAGAGATACATGTTGATATAAGTAAATATTTCTATTTGAACATATTTAAATATATTCTCAAGTAGCTCAGAACTGCTCAAATAATATAACTTATTTACATATAAATCAGACCTACCTCTAATATCATCTTTCTTCCCGTAGTGTATGTCTTTAAATTAGTGGTATTTTTAGCTGGTAAGACTAATTTCTCTCTTCTCCAATGGATTGATGCTGGTGGATTCGATTTCACATCACAACTTATATTGATTGGATTTCCTTCCCAAGAGTAATAAATTGTTTGGTTTGATATAAACTTAGGAGCATCTGTAAAACAATGTTAATAAATAATTTATAGATTTTTCAAAATAATCATTTTGTTTGCATAGATTATACTGAGTACAAATTAGTAATTTTGAATAATAATGAAGCTATAATAATACCAAGTTCATATATTAAATATGTGACATAGAACTTATGAAAATACATTTGATTTGAATTTTTGTCACAAAATTTCAATGTTATTAATATGAGGAAGAAGCCTATTCGGTTATTAAAATATGAAACAATACACAGATTTGTTCTTATCAATATGACAAACACATTCATTGATTATATTATTATTTACATATATGTGAATATTTCTGGAACTACCCATAGTAAAAAGTAATGGTTAAACTTTAACAAAATTATAAGGCTAAACCTTAACAAAATTAATGGTTCTGTGTCATTATTTAGTCATATTTTGTCTTAGTCACAATATTTTTTTCTATAGTATACTGTGAAGTATGAATGAAATATATGTTGAAAGAGCAACTTACATGTAGACTTCTGTCCAAAGTATCCACATTTTCAATTTTTATTAAAAGACTGACATCTTAAATTAATTAACAAAAATGAATTTGAAATTAATGAGTTCTTATGATTCCCTGTTGATTTTCAGGTCTTAACAACAGATGAAATAATAAGAGTTAATAATAAGAGTTAAGTGTTATAATAAGTGTTAAGAGAAAATCAATGATAAACTGTACTGGAGGAGTTAAAGATGTGCCACCTCAAACTATTGTAAATCAGTGTTCTGATAATTTTCGAGTTGAAATTACTAAAGGAACTGCAATTAATTGCTGAAATAGTCTTTTGGCTTGTGTTTCCCTACAAAAAGCAAGCCACAGATTCTTTTGGAGAGTACATCCTCCACATATCAAGCCTGGAAAATAATCTTAAAAACTGGAAACATGTAATTGTGGATGTGATTTACCTGAATAAATAAACTCTGAAGGAACCATTACCCTTTCCCATCCGTTAGTAACACACTCAAATTTACCACCTTGATTCAGATATCTATTTGCCCTGATATTCCTTCATATTTGGGGGGTTAATTGTCCAAAATGGTTAAAAGCCTCATGGTTTAGTTATAACTTTAAAATTATATCTCTTGTGAAGATCCCCTATACATGTAAAAGGAATAAAACTTTTAAGTTTTATTAAGCAAGTTTTACAATACTTGAATTCAAATATTCAGCCAAAGAACCCATGTAAGAACTAAAGGAGGGCATCTGTCTCTCCCCTAAAATATTGTAACACTTTATTGCATAATTTTAACGCAAAAGGCACAAAAACATAGTTTTTAATCTTATCCTTTCCAGAACTATGATCTAGACTAAATGTCACTTATAGGAAGCTTTTTGAGTTTCAGTTTCCTATCTGTATAATCATTTGAAGCATTAATTTTGTACAAAAAGCACGATTCTCACTTATTTTGTACATATTTTTGTTACTGATAATAACTGTTTAGAACCTACTTGCCCATCACAAATAGTAACGTCATTGTCTAGCTTTAAACATTTTGCTTAATATCCATAATCATTTATTCATGATCTACATACAGTTGTTCAATTTATGCATTATGTTTTGAACCAGTAATATAAGAATTCTCATCAGTAATACAAATGTAGACATAATCATTTTTAATAAATCTATATTTATGTATTATTTATTATATCTTTCTTATTAAGGCATCTTACATTTTTGCAATTTATTAATCTTTACATTTTAAATTAAATGTATGCCATTACCTAATGAACATAAAAATAGAATGTATGTATGTAGTACTATGATATTCTAATACATGTGTACACTGGTCAATGTTTAAACTAGGCTAAATGTATCTATCTCCTCCAAGTTTTATCATTCTCTTATGGTGAAAACATTCAAAATCTTTTCCTCTATCTTTTCAAAATTCACGGAAATAGCACACTACAGCTCTTTTTTCCTAATTGTAATTTATTACCTATCAACTAATCTATCTCTACTTTTCCTTCTACATGTTCTCCCTAGCTTCTGATAACTATCCTTCTACTCCCAAATGTCATAAGGTTAACTCTTCAACATTACACATATGAGTGACATTTTGAAATATATCTTCATGGCTTATTTGACTTTATATAACAATTGCCACTTTCATCCATGTTGTTAGAAACAACATTATTTCATCTTTTTTATGCCTGACTAGTATCCCATCATGTATATTTACTATTTTTTTTATCAGTTCACCACTTAAGAGACAGTTGGGTTGATATCACTTCTTGCTATTTTGAATATTGCTGCATGAACATGAAAGTGCAAATGTCTCTATGTCATACTGATTGCATTTCCTTTACATATATACTCAATAATGGATTGGGTGGATCATAAATGCATGTGGTTCTATTTTTAATGTTGTGAAGAAGCACCATATCGTTTTGCATCACTATATTAATTTACCATCATTTCCATTCCCACCAAGAGTGGACAATGGTATCCTTTCATTGTTGCAGCACTTCTTATCTTTTGTGCTTGTGATAATAAGCATCCTTTCTGGGGGAAGTGATATTTAATTATGATTTTGATTTGCACATCACTTATTAGCAATGTTGATCAAGTTTTTATAAGCACATTTAAGACTCCAATGTCACTGAGATATATCAAGGGCTATTGGTGCCTATTTTTTTACAAGGATTATCTGCATATATATTTAATGACTTTTGCTTGTTCCTTATATATTCCAGATGACAACCCATCACCAGATGTATAATTTGCAATTTGCAATTATTGTGTAAGTTGTTTTCTCATTCTGTTGATCATTTCCTGTGTAGTGCAAAAGCTTTTCAGTTTAATAGAACTTCATTATTCTATTTTGCTTTTGCGTTCTGTGCTTTTAGAGACTTGTCCAAAAAATTTATGTACATTTGCATATCCTGGAGCATTTTATCTGTTTGACTTTAGTAATTTCATATTTTCATGTTTTATATTTAAATCTATAATCATTTTGAAGTTGGACTTTTGCAAATAACGAAAGAGGTCTAGTTTCACTGAGATGTCCATGGGCATTTAATTTTCTCAGCACCATTTCTTAAAATTACTGTCCTTGCTTAGTGAGTGTATGTTTATTAAAAATCAGGGGACTGTAAATATGTGGGTTTACTTCTGGGTTCTTATTTCCTTATGTTTGCTTGTTTTCATGGCAACGCAATGCTGTTTTGATTACTATAGTGTAGCAGTATATTTTGAAGTCAGGTAGTGTAATGCCACTTGTTTTGTAGGTTTTTGCTTAAGATTGGTTTGGCTATTTTGGATCTTCTTACAAATTTCAGGAGGTTTTTTTGTGCTTCTATGAAGAATGTCTTTGGAAAAAAAAAAAAAAAGGAATGTGTTTGGTATTTAGATAGAGATTAGATTGAACCTGTAGGTCACTTTGGGCAGTATGTACATTTCATTGCTATTAACTCTTCTGCTCCATGACAAATGCATTTTATTTAATTTTTTATATCCCCTTAAATTTACCTTTTCAATGTTTTACAATTTTCATTGTAGAAATCTTTCACTTAGCAATAAATAGGACATACATGTGTAAATACCAAACAGTTTCTCTGTTGTGAAAAACTAAAAGTGTAAATAAGGATCAAAATGTATAACTGATATTGTGAAATAGGACGAAAACATCTAAAGGAGTAGGGGAAATGGGAGGGGTAGGGGAAAGGAAAGAAGCTAAAAGAAAATATATGAGAAAAGGAAAAACATGGAAACAAAGTCTTTGTAAACAGGGAAGAGTGGAGGGGGTGAAGGGAGGGCAGGGCAATGGGGAAAAAAATAAGAACCAAGATACATCATGTAAAGGTACAAGATCCCAATGATGAATGTAACTGTATTGTATACCTAAAATGTACCAAAAAACTAAATGGAAAAAACAAAAACAAACTTTAACCAATATTGAGTCATGAGGAAATAGAAAACTAAAACTAACCAATAACATGTAACATGGTCATGTTATTTTTTTAATCTCAATATAACATGCAAATATGGAATACCTGTTAAATAAATTCTATATAACAATAAATTTATGCATTTTATACATAATATTTTAATAACCTTGTGAAGGATATATAATCCTTCTTCCATGAATGAGAAAATCTGGGATAGATATGCAATATCCACATCATTATAGTACTAAGTTGGAGGTTTGACCTATGAATCTAGGACAAAGTACACAGTATCATATATTTTCAAGAGACATATAATTGGAATGATACTTTAGGTAAAGAGAATTGTAACCTACACAATCATGACTCTTTAATCGTCTTCTTTGGTATCGGTCCAGAACAAATAATTAAAAACATTGTCAAAAGATTATAAGAAGGACTTTTAATCCATTATTATTTTAGTAGCAATTCTGAAAAACTTGATATTGGACAAGGTATTACTGAGTAAGAACTGGTACATCGCTGTACTAGTGGGCTAAACATCAGGTGCTTGTATTTGTCCGTGTTTTTCCATACACTTGGTCTATCCTTGCTCTTTTCTTCAGCTGACTGCCTTCAGAACAAAGCTCCACACCTACTAAACACAGTCTCTCCATATTTTTCCCTCTGGCTAACATTGTCTTCTTTGGGTTTTCATACCATTGTATATATTCCCTCATTGTGGTCATACACACTGGAAGGATCTTTTTGATTGTTTCTTTGAAAAATAGTCTGCATCTTTTTGGTTAGGATGTATCTCAGTGCAAAAATTGTACATCAAAATTGACTGAACATTCAACAATCAATCATATATTTCAATTCAGTAATCCAGTTAAATTAGAAGGTAATTATTTGTGAGGGAAAAGAAAAAAATTCTTATAAATGTCCAGAAAGTAAATAATTTAATGTATATGTAACTAATAAAAGATTAATTACACTTGATTCTTAAAGTGAAATGGAAAGCATATATCTTATGAGTAAAATCTTGGATTGCATCTGTATGTATTATGAATATAGTTTGCTTACCATTATACTATTTGAAGAAGTTTA